GATCTGGCTAGCGGGCGGCGTCATTGGCGACAGGTTTCCGGAAGTGGAAGCGTCAGCGAGTTGAAGGGCTGCATCAAAGGGTCCATCAGGGCAGGGCCATGCTTGATGGTGGTGTCGGTGTCCAGGGAGGAGTCAGCTGTGCCCTCTGTGTCGGCCAATATGGATGATACCGGGGAGGAGGAGGAGGAGGAGGAGATGGAGGGTAGTAGAGAGAAAAAGAAGAGAAAGCAAAAGAACTACAAGGCATGGAAGTGTTTAGAAAAAAGAGGGAGAAGAAAGGGAAGAAGGCAGCATCCTGACACAGCCCTTTCCTTCAGCTGCCCCTTTCCCTGTGTTCCAAGGTAGAAATGGGAAACAAGTCCTGTTGCAGTGAGAGGGCAGCTGCTGTCAGCCAGTCTCTGTCTTTACCTGGGTCCCGATCTGAGCTGGGCGTGGGAAGTGAAGCAGCCATGGGGGCAATTAAACATTACATGGTACATACCTATGCCAAAAAAGTATTCATTGTTTATCTGAGATTCAAATTTAACTGGGTATGATGTAGTTTTATTTACTAAATCTGACAATCCTATTTATACGTCTCAGTTTTCTAATACATGGAATGGATAATTTGAACAGACAACCTCCAAAGTGTTTCTCAGAGATAACATTGTATAATATGTATCTGTTACAGTTAGAATTTTTTTTAATAGAGTACAATTGTTATATGTATTCATAATTCAAACCTTGCACCATAGAATATTATACTAATTTATCACCTTCTTACTGATGATGAAACTAAAAATTACAAAATTATTTTCCAAATTTTCCTTCAAATATGGGATTATAATTTCCCACAAATAAAACTATGATCATTGTAAAATGACTCACTTCACTGAATTGATTTGACTTTGAAAGACATGTTGATGCTGGAATAACTAGGCAATTTATTGTTTTTTGCTAGACTCCTATAGCCAACTTCAAATGAAACACGTAATTCACTAATGGAAGAATTGTATTCTGAAACTACCATTAACATGTTCAACCAACATCTTAAATTCTTCAGCTCCCTGTAACATTGTTTAAAAAGGTGAGATCTTTCAGAAAAATTGGAAGGAAACTCTTGGGTGTTGAAATAGTGTTAGCAATAGCTCAGCCAGTTCTATAGCATTGAGATTGCAAAATTTATAACCTGCTTAAGAATCATGCCTGGAGCTATGAGGCAATACTTAATCCAAATCAAAATATATTGAGAGGAAAGTAGCCTTATGCTTGCCAGATGGAAAACCATGTTTTAGAACATTACAAATAAAGGGTCACTGATTGTCATAAATAGTTCTTATGGAGTTGGGGAATTCAGAGGTTAAAACTGATATGGTTGTGCTGTAGTTCCCCCTTATCCATAGGGAATACATTTCACAATTCCCAGCAAATGCCTGAAACTGAAGATAGAACCAAACTCTATATAGACTATTTTTTCTTACCTTTTCACTTAAAGGAAACACTTTACTGGTTTTCTTTGGCATATACGAATTGCCAGCATCACTTCTCTTTTATAGAATTTGAAGATACTTTTCTCTTATGCTTTGGGGCCATTATTCAGTAAAACAAGGGTTACTTGAACACAACCACTGCCACACTCTGACTGAGATGGCTACAACATGACTACAGGATGGGGAGCTTATACAGCGTGGAGACACTGGTCAAGGGGATGATTCATGTCCGAGTGGGATGGAGCTGGATTCTGGAGATTTCATCACACTATTCATAATATAGTTAATTTAAAGCTTGTTGTTTATTTCTAGAATTTTTCCATTTAACATTTCCTGGTTGTCATTGGCCATGGGAAACTGGAACCACAAAGCACAACCTCGGATAAGGGGGGAATACTGTGTCCATGAGGTAGGCTAAGCAATGATGGGCAACAGCCACTTCAGTATTTTAGCGGCTTAACCCAACACAAGTTTATTTCTTGCTTATGCAGATTCTGTTGTAGGTCCTGGGACTCTCCTGGGCAGTTGTGCAGGGTAATAATTTAGCATTCCAGGATCCTTCAGTTCTTTGCCGCCTCCTTCTTAAGGTGCACTTCCGTGATTGCTGCAGCCAGGGAAAAGAGCATAGAGTCAAGCACTGACCCTTAAGTGATTCCACCAGGACATGAAACATTTCATGTCTGCTCACATTATCTACAAAAACAAGTTACACTGCTAAAGCTAATTTCAGTGGGGTGAGGAGTGTAAACCTCCCCTATCCATAAAACCAGAAAGAGGACAGGAAAAATTGGAGAACACTGAAAATGCCTTCAGTAGTATGAAATGTTAGGAAAGTGTATTATGTTTCAGATTAAATTAATACAGTCAACAATACTACTAGCATGTCATAAATCAAGGTTGAAACCAATTAAAGTTTAATCTTGATCTTGTGATTGAAAGTTACAGACTTTAAGTAGTTTCACTGTTACTCAATGTTTGCATTATTTTCTGTGCAAGCAACTAGTCATTTAGAGTCATAAATGATTCATGAAATTGTTTAACCTGAGTTGGTTTGGAAGACTAAAAGCCACGTACATTGAAATGAACTGATTTGATCAATATTAGGTAAAATATTAAAACACAACTTTTTTCCCCCTATGGTTCTAATATTGTAATCTAAACAAACCACATTTTATGTAAAGATACACTGAGAGGAATATATTCTGCATAGGAAGGAATAATTACTGACTGACTATAATAGACAAATGGCGTATTACTTGGTATTTAATATGTTACTTAGTTTCAGCCATTTTTTTTGTTGCTACAATAATGAATAACTAAAGGAGCATTTAGTCCAGCATTGATTCTAAATATTAATTTAATTTTTCCCACCTACCAAATGTTATCCCGGGGTTAAATGGCTAACAAAGATTTGTTACTTGATGCTAATACCACATTAGAGGCCTCTTATAGGATACTCTTTCACCTAACCTCTCTACAGCAATTTGTTTAAATGTTTATTTTTAAACTGTAGTTTAAAGTTAATTCCTTAGTTAATTTCACGTTATTTTTTTGAAAGCAAGTTTTTGGACCCATCAAAAATGGCTTGCACAATGCAACAATGGACACTTACGATCATATAAAGATATGCGAATGTACCTGTTTGTCAGGTGTAAAGAGTCATCTAAAGAGCATTCACGTGGGAACTAAACCTTACAAACAAGCGCGCAGCCGCATCTGTGGTCCCTTTATTCCGCTTTTCCAAGAGGTGAATAAGATCTATCATTTGATTCTTAATTTATAGATTGTCTTCAGACATATTATTGTCCAGTCCTCATGCCACAGCAGTTACAGGCGAAAAGAAAGTAAGAAAGAAAGATGCCCCTGAAGATAGGGCAAGCTTAATCCTGCCACCATTAGATAGGTCACAGTGTCACAGGTATGCTTTCAACAGGATAGCAATCTTAGAGGTCAGGTTGAAAAACAACAAAAATAACACCCTGGACGTGGAAGATCAGACCTCAGGGAGGGCCAGCTGCAGGCCCTGTGCTGTGTGTTTACGAATCTCCGCAGTCGCCGGGATCCTCCCCTGGGGTCCTCACCGGGCAGGTCCGGTCCCTGCCGCCCTACCTGTCCGCCCAGGGCGCGCCGAGTTTTCCCAGGCGACGCCCTAGCGGTGGGAATGGGAACACCCCGCTTGGGAGCTTCCTTTCCACTCGCCTTTCCCAGCTGGACCCCAAAGCCCCTAAAGCCCCGGGAGAAGGAAGTTCCAACTCTGTCCCGGTCCATCCCCGCCCCGTTTCTCGCTCCGGCTCGCTGCCTCTCTCGCTCCGATGCCTGGGAGCCTCGCCGCCACTTCTGGGTGGCCGTCCGGCGAGGTGGCGGCGAGCTCCCGGGCTCCGGGCAGGGACATGGGCAGGGTGAGTGAGCCGGTTTGGGGAGAGGCTCCGCGGCGCCCAGGGAGCGCCCGGCCACACGCCCGCGGGCTGGGGAGGCGCTGCCCCGGCCCGCCCGCTCGGGCTGAGCCTCGGGAAGCTGCGGCTCTCTCCTCCTTCAAGTCCCGGCTGATCCCCGAA